AGCAGCAGCAGCAGCAGCAGCAGCAGCAGCAGCAGCAACCGGTCCTTCACCTGCCGCATCCATCGGGCAAATCTGCTTTGAACTCGCCGATAAAAGACTCTCCCTCCTCCTCCCACCGCTGAATTCCAAGCCCCTCCCTGACGGGGCAGAAAACAAGAAGCAAGGGAAGAGAAGGGAGAGGAGGAGGAAAAGCGAGAGGAGTGGAAGGAAGAGAAGGGAGGGTCAGGAGTAAACGAAAAAGGAGGAGAGCAGCAGGAGGAGGAGGAGGAGAAGGAGGAGGAGAAGGAGGAGGAGCAGGAGATAAAGAAGCGCTGTGGAGTGGGAAAGAGGAGCAGAAAAGAGGAGAGAGTTTGATACCTGCTATTTCCGTTTCTTCCGCCGGTATAGAGGGGAGGGATTGAAAGTTCACTGAAACAAGATGAGGGAGGAGGAGGTAAAGGTTGATCACTGACATTGTTTCCCTTCCTACCCCCATCGGCTCGTCGGACGACGACATTTCACTTGTGTTTGCAAAGATATTCTGAACGACAGATAGACAAACAGACAGAAAGATAGACAGCGGGAGTGAGAGAGGGCGGGGGAGGGAGGGAGGGAGGGAAGAAGAAGAAGAAGAAGAAGGTCAGAGCAACTGTGTGAATGCGGAGAGCACAACAATGCAGCGACAAGAACGACCACTCAAGATATGATACACAACATCATGGAAAGATTCTCAACACTTAGTACGAAAGCTTAGCTGTCACCAAACAAACAGGGCTGTCACTAGCAAGACAAGACAAGTTTCTTGCACTCCTGCAAACACATTCTCATTCTATCTCAATGATCTTCAACCTGAATCATCTTCAATCTCGTCTCTGTAGCTTGTTCGTTCAACATTAGTGATCTTGTTCCATTCAAGGCTTTGATCAGCTGCATTGACAATGAGGGGATTGTTGTAGTGTTCTTTGTTCTCATCACCTCTGGCTCATTGAGCACTTTCGAGGAACAGATGTGAATTAGGTTCCAATCGACCTGAGAGAAAGTGCAATCATCATGTAAGAGGCATTGTACACTGATGGAAGAGGAGATATGATATGAAATGAAGTCGATATACAACCAAGATGAAAGGTGAAACACACTCATGCACAAAACAGAGATGTAGACGAAAGATAAAATGAGTGCACTAGCGGTGAGATCATAGATGAGACGAGAAACAAACACGATCTTCATCAATGAAGCAACACATTTTCATCTTCTCCTCACATTGTACATCTTTCCCCAATACTCCGCAAAGATTGAGACTCCGATGTCTCGCCGACAAGAAGGAGAAGAAATACCATGAAGCACTCGACATATCCTGATCAGACATCTCAATCCTCTCCCTCCTCCTCATCTTCATCGGCATCTTCATCCTCCTCCTCCTCCTCCTCCTCGCATTCCCTCACATTCCTCCTCCTCATCATCATCTACCACCAACTCCTCCTCCTCCTTCTCCTCCTCCTCCTCCTCCTCCCCCCCCTCCTCCTCCTCCTCCTCTTTCTCCGCCTCCTGCTCCTGCTCCTCCTCCTCCTCTCCACTCTCACATCAACGGAGTTATCCGTATGGTGGAGTAGCGGACCATGGTTTGGATCAACTGGAACGTAAGTCAGCGTCAAAGTTCGCGATGAGATTGACAAGTCAACATCGTAAACTCTCTCCCGAACTTGCTGATAAGACGGAGGGTCTTGCATGTATCTTGGGTATTCCCCTTGAAAGCTTTCTAGTACACTCTGCCCTTCATCGCGATCCTTTACAAGACGCGCTCAGTCAAACACTGATCAACTCTACTCTGAAGAGCGAAAACGGACCGAGAGGAAGTATTTCTCAATCTTGTTGTGGATGTCGCTTGCAATCCGAGATGAAAGGAACGTTGGATCGTTCTGCAATCTCGAGAGAGAGGTGAAGTCAATCTTGTGACTCGAGCCGTCGAGAAGCTCGTAGAGATCGTCGACGTGTTTCTCCTGCAACACAGTTGGTTCTTCGTCTCCCTCTCAACTTGGTTTCTCAACACCTGCATCCTTTCAAGCTCCTTCATCTTGGATTTGATCGATTGTGTGATGTTTGAGATCAGGTGTCGCTTCTCTGGATGACCGAAAACATGCGGACAAAGAGATGCATGTCACGTCCGATCAAATAGAGGTTTCAAATCAAAGTGACGTGTTCATATCAACGAGCAGCTTCATCTCAAAGAAAGTTTTCATGTCAAGAAGAAGTTTCATATCACAGAGAAGTTTTCACATCATGTGCAATAGTGAAAGTAACACAGTCTTCACCTAAATTTCTCATCTTGATCTCAATGATCCAGGCGCTCCCCCTCTCCTCGAAGTGAAAGTTTTGTTCGTGCTGTTGAAACATTCTTCACATCTCCTCCTCTTCATGAAGCAAATATTTCCTCTCGGATTGACTTCATCCGGCAATGCCCCTCTAGCTCGTCCCGCGGAACTCCTTTGTTGAAGATGTCAGGTCAGCAAGAGCGACCAAGAGATGGAGCAGGAGGAGGAGGAGGAAAGGAAAATGATGATGATGATGATGATGATGATGATGATGATGATGATGATGATGATGATGATGATGATGATGATGATGATGGAAATTCTGATGAGGAGGACCAGGACCAGGACCAGGACCAGGACCAGAATGAGGAGTTCATAAAGAAGAAGACGTCTTTCCTCTGACCTGACTTCGAAGCAATCTGTTCCCAATCAAATTTCCACACTCGCTCGTTGTCATTGTTGAAGGTACTACTTGTCATATTGACCTCCTCTCCATAGCGGAAGATGTATTTCAGATATTGATCGTCTTTCAACTGCTCCGGGGTCAGAGAAAGTACGAAAGGAAAGACCTCAGATATGACTGGGATGAAAAGAAGTGGGCGGTAGGGGGAGCAGGAGGAGTAGGAGGAGTAGGAGGAGCAGGAGGAGCAGAGCAGGAGCAAGAGCAGGAGCAGGAGCAGTGGCAGAAACTCAAGCAAGAACAAAAGGAGTAGAACGAGGAGGAATCCACATAGGATAAGGTGACAACAAAATTGTTCGCAATCGAACGATGCTGAAGAAAATGATTTGAATCTCATGAAAGAAAAAAAGAATGATGTAGCAGAAAGAAAACAGATCAAAAACGCAGAAAACTGTTGAAATGTTCTTGAAATTGACTTACCACAGACAAGTCTCCATGAACGTGCATTCGAATCCCCTCTGCAGCTTTATACAAAACTCTAATGAACCCTTCCTGTTCGACATTACTCATGTTCGAACGCATCTTATAGTCAAGCACATCACATGGTCAAACAAATCTTATCTCTCGACACATTTCAGCTTCCAATACATTTCATCTCTATAAACATCTCAACTCTCAACACACACAACTCTTAGTCACATCGGATCGCTATAAACATCTCACCTTCCAAAACATCTCATCTATACAAACACCTTCTTATCTTGCAACACATCTCATATCTATAAACATCTTCTTATCTTCCATCACATTTCAACTCTATACACATCTCAACTCTCAACACATCTCATGTCTCAGAACTTCTAATCTTCTCACAATCTCCAAGAATGCAAGGATCGTCTCTGCGGTCTGCGGAGGAATTTCCAGCCTCCTGCAGAGATCTGACACAGAAGTCACGCATTCCAGGTGGTGGCGAGAAAAGATGAAAGGAGGGATAGCGCATAGAAGGGATGACAGCACAGGACAGGACAGGACAGGGAAGGAGACGAGAAAGCAAAGAGGAGAGGAGAGGAGAGGGATGGGGAGGAGAGGAGAGGGGGGAGAGGAGGGGAGAGGAGAGGAGAGGAGAGGAGAGTAGAGGAGAGGAAAAGAGAGGAGGAAACAGGTCTGGTAAGGTGAGAAGGAGGACGAGGACGAGGATGTACCTGGGGAGAGGCGAACTATGGAGTGCGGAGGTTGTCTCGCTCCTCCTCCCTTCCTCTTCCGAAACGCTCGAGATCCCCCCCCTTCGAAGATTGCGCGGATGATTCCCCTGAGAAGAGAGAGAGGAGTGAGAGGACGAGAACGAGGACAAGGACCAGGACGAGAACGTTGACAGCAGCAGCCCAGCAGCAGCACCAGCAGCAGCACCACCACCAGCACCAGCAGCAGCACCACCAGCAGCAGCAGCAGCAGCAACAGCAGCGCCAGCGCCAGCACCAGCAACAGCACCACCAGCAGGAGGCCTGAAATTTTCAACTCACTCGATGGATCTTTCTTCTATGACTGAAGAGTGAGAGAGGGACCTTGACCTGCATGAAACGAGCCGGTAAGGGAGGAAAGAAGGAGATTTCAAGGAGAAAGGAGAAAATTTCAGAAAAAAGGGAGGAGATTTCAGCGAGAAAGTAAGAGATCTCAGTAGAAAAATGAGAGAAATCAGGAACAGATGGAACGATTTCCAGGTGAGAAGAGAAGATTTCAATTTGTATGATGGAAGGGCAGGACGACAGGTTGTTCGCATTCACCGGACGAAGTCTTCGTTGTCGAGGAGAGTAAAACAGAAACTTGGTTTGCCATCCCTGTAGGGCAATCACCAACGATTGTTGGCAAAATATAACCTCTGCTCTCCTCTTCTCCCCCTCTCCTCCCCCCTCTCCTCCCTCCCTCCCTCTCCTCCCTCCCTCTCTCTCTCTCTCTCCTCCCCTCTCCTCCCCTCTCCTCCCCTCTCCTCTCCTCCTCTCCCCTCCCCTTTCCTTCCTCCTCTCCTCTCCTCTCCTTTCCTCCCGTCTCCTCCCCTCTCCTCCCCTCTCCTCTCCTCCCATTCCTCTCCTCTCCTCTCGCTTCCTATCGCCTCCTCTCCTTCCTCATTCTATTCGACGTTTCTGTTCTTACACGTTGCCATCAAAAGACCAAAACTCATATCAACTCTTTCATCCTCAAACTGCCTTCTGGATTCATCTGTGAATTTCTCTTCACCTTCCCGCCCGTCCAATCTGCTGCGACCACTCCTCGATGCTTGATGGACTACAAAACAGAGAAAACAATCAGAGCAAACAATCGAGAAGAAAGAAAGACACTATTCGGCTTCCATGAAACATCATCATCACATAAATGCTGCATCATCACAGGAATACTGCTCAGAACACTTTGTGTTTGATAACGTTCAAAGATCCCACAAAGAATCCACACGGTAAAAACCAGAACAACGTCTCTCACGAGTTATAGTGAATGACGGCCCGGATATCTTTCTTGTTGATTCCCATTCCAAACGCAACAGTCGCAACGATGATCTGAACTTCATTCGAGAAGAAGGCATCCTGTTGAATACGACGTGAAATACGATAAGATCCTTCTGCTCCTCCTCCTGCTGCTCCTGCTCCTGCTCCTGCTCCTGCTCCTGCTCCTCCTGCTCCTCCTGATCATCATCATCATCATCATCATCATCATCATCATCATCATCATCATCATCATCATCATCATCATCATCATCATCATCATCATCATCATCATCATCATCATCCTTTAAATCATCTCCATCCTTTTGGATCTCGTAAATTATCAACCTAAAGATCTCTGTCGGCAAAATCTCCAATCTTATCATCTTCTTTCTTCTTTACGTCTTCCTGTACAAGTCTTCCTTCTTCCTACCTGGTTTGCTCTCCGATCTTGATTCTTCATGGCCCCATGATATGGAAGTGCGCGGAAGCCTCGTTTCTTCAGCGACGTCGCAAGCTAGCAGAATCTTTAGATAATCAACACAAGCACCAGCACCAGCACCAGCACCAGCAACAGGTACAATCACGAGTCAAAATTTCGTTACCTTCTCACACAGAGCTTGAGTGCTGCAGTACAAGATGGTGCTGAAGCTGGGAGACTTTTCTTGGCCTTCTACTATGTCGGATGTGATGGAATTCTCGAACAAGATCGGAAGAGAAGAGATGATCGTTTCTAACGTCTCGACCTCCCGATTTACCCTTACAATGTTGTGAATGCTTGCGCTCCAATCACGAAGAATCCTCCGACTTACCTCAGCACGGAAACGTGAAGATTTGGTCTGATGGTAGAGGAGTAGACAACACCGTCTTTCGGAATGAAGAGTAGTCTGACAAGGAGCCAGGTCACTCATTACCATCAATAAGAGCAGCAGCAGCAAAATAACAGGCAGGAGGAGGAGGAGGAGGAGGAGGAGGAGGAGGACGAGGACGAGGACGAGGACGAGGACGAGGAGGAGGACGAGGAGGACGAGGACGAGGACGAGGACCATGATTGTCCTACCGGCAGATTTGATTTGTAACTCGGGCAGTCGATGTGGCTGTCAAACCAAGGATACATCTCACTTTCAACTTCTCAGTCAGAAATCTGCAGACATGTCAGATGTTAGAGACAAGAATCTGGCATCCCTCCCATGACATACAACCAAGCAATCACTCATCGACAACAAGTCAACAAGAAAACCAAACAGCGCAAGAGCACGAGAAAGACAGCAACAACATCACATGCAACAAACGCCATCTGCACATCTTGCACAATCTGAACATCTTCAGAATCCACCTCCCGAGCCTCAGGTAAGACGGTCGGAAATGGTGAGCCCACGACGACGCGCAATGTGCTGAGGTCGGTGAGCTTGCAGAAGAGAAGAGAGGTGTCAACAACACAAACCTTCATCGATGCACGCAAGATTGATGCGATCGACGTTCTTCATGAGATCCTGCTCACGTAAAAATCACCTCCCCTCGGACTCTGTCTGAACATCGACCAGGAACGATGCCGTGAAAAGTCTCTCAGGGGCGATGTAGAGGATATCGATTGAACCCTGCGTGTGTCCGGATGTCAACGTCCAAGACGGGCACGTGCTGACAAAGGAACCTTGACGACTTCTCTGTTCACTTCGCTGATTTCGAGCTCATTCATCTCACTAGACACACGTTTCAAATGCGCATCCTCCTCCCATCCCCGGCAAACCTGCTCAGACAAGCCCCGCGAATGCAGTAGGGGAGAGACTTCAACTGTTTTTCTCTCCTTGTCAGGCACCCCAACAACTTTGAATACCTTCAACGGCTCACCTGATCCTTGATCAAAGCAAGCAGAGGCGAAATCACGAGAGTTATGCTCCCCTTGTTCTTCATCGCAACAGTCGGCAAGAGATATGTCAAGGATTTTCCTGAAATGGCGTGAGAGGACGAGAAAGAGGACGAGGTACAGGAGAAGCAGCAGCAGCATGGGGCAGCACGGGGCAGGAGCAGGAGCAGGAGCAGCAGCAGCAGCAGCAGCAGCAGCAGCAGCAGCAGCAGCAGCAGCAGCAGCAGCAGCAGCAGCAGCAGCAGCAGCAGCAGCAGCATCTACAGGACTGAGAAAACTTTTGCACCTGATCCTGTTGCAGAGATGAAGAGCGTGCTCTGACCGTCTAGGACTCTCCTGATCGTCTCTCCCTGCCCTGGCGACAACCTTCATCATTCACTTTCAAACTCACATAGGCTTCCTCCACCTTCACGGAAAGACGGGATGTCGAAGACGTTGGAGCGCAGCTCCTCTACCGTGCTCCAAGAAACTTTCACATCCTTCAACTCCTCTGCCGCAGATCGAGTGAATGAGCAAGACTACTCCTTGCCACAAGTGTCCCTCCTCCTTCTCGGCGCACCTGTCAGTCGGTTCTTCTTCGCATCGACCATGTCAAGGTAGTCAAACTCCCTCGATCTCTGGTAGTTGTGGAAGAACTTCCTCTTCCTGATCCCTCGCAATTCAACATCCAATGATTGTAAGAACGCTTCACCTTCCATACCCCGAACGGACTTGAGACAACAGGGACTCCTCTGAATACAGACACAGGTCACTCTGTCTCCCATCACAACCACCATCCCTCACCTGTCATGCACAACAGCAAGAACAACAGTCTTGCTGCTCGGCTCGAACATCTCCTATGCATCTTCACGTAGCGCTCATCACCTCCTATCCCGCCCCACGAGCATGGCGAAATCCTTCATACCCTGCCAGTCACTGCCAGCATGCCGGTCCCTCATCCATGGGCGCTTGGCAGCAGCTCAACATGCGGATCTCTTGCGGTGCACGCTCATCATGCCCTTCACCGCGTTTGATCATGTCGCTGCATCGGAGTTGCCTTGGAGCTGAACCATCAAAGTCCAACCTAAAGAAAGAGATCAGACTCCTTGACGGTACTGAGTGTGACTTCGAAGGCCGAAGATCATGCGATACAATACTTGAGCTGTATGAGATATTGCTGTTAAGGTAGACATAACTTTTCTTCAAGATGGTCTATTTCTTTTCAAAATTCCCCACCTCTCCTCCCCTCCCCTCCTCTTCTCCCCTCCTCATCGTCTGCATCCTCCTGCCCCCCCCCCCCCCTACTCCTCTCCATTCCTCCTGCCTGAAAGCATTTTTGATCCACTAGTCGCATGCCGCGTATGTTGGTAGACCATGTGTTACCGGTCCTGCACAGTAGAAATGTAGGGGTACTCATTTTTAAGGGGTGGGAGTACCCTCTAGGAAAACGAAGGGGTGGAGAAAGCTATGATGAAGGGGTGAAGGTAGGATAGCAGGGGTTATTGGACGGGGGTAGGGGTAGAAATCAGTGGAAAAAGTGGGGTGGTATAGATGGAATATCAGGGGTACATTTTAGAGAAAAACGTTAAGTATTGTGGGTAGGGTTATGACATTGACGGGGGTGGAAAAATATTGCTCTCTAAACTGGGGTAGGGGTGGTTGGCGACGGTTCGCAATGTTCCAGATCAAGCAGCAGGTACGATGAAGAGGAGGGGGGGGAGGCAAAGGAGGAGGAGGAGGAGGAGGAGGGAGAGGAAGAGGGAGAAGAAGAGGAAGAGGAGGTTGAAGGGGTGAGTCGATGTTGAGGATCTCGATGAAGGACAGATACAGAAAGACGATCGAGAAGCATTTGGGTACAACGAGAATGTTGTTTGGAATATGGGGATGATTTTAGCAACGGAAACTATTAGAATGAACATATGATGATCGAAGATCTACGACATAGCATATATTTCATTTGAGATTAGGATGCCTTTGTGAGACATCATGTAAGAATGAAATAGAAGTTTGGAGGCGAGTAATATGACGGGTGAGGTATGAATGTGCTATGATGAGATGATAAGGATGTTTCATGCTAATCAAGAAGATACGCCTCCGAGGAGAAAAGAGGAGGAAAATTATATGTTGACCGTGACCGTCTGAGATAACGATCGTAAGGGAGTTGATGAGAAAGAGAACGGAGGGAATTGAAACACTGAAATATGTTGTGTTACAAGAAGATAACAATTTGCTGAGCGTTTGGAACTTAGAATGCAACACAAACAGAGAGAACTAGACGCTTCAAGCGTCAAGATATGCAATGTTGCGAATGAGAGTTGAAGAGCTCGTAGAAGGTCAGATGAGACGGAGATCGACTTGTGCAGCAATGAGATTAATAGCAATTTCATGAACAGACAAGATGGTTGTGATGTAAATTGAGAGAGACGGTGGAATGTACGGGAGGGGGCAGGAGGTTAGACAGGATGTAGGAGGTGTGTGATAGCGAGACAGAAGAGGGTTCAAGAGGACACTTGACAAAATTGCGACTGACTCTCCTGCTCCCATCGTTCTGATCATTCTCGTTGAGCAGACCACGGAACTGGCCGATGCCTGGCTGAAGAGGAAGCTAGCGGAGAACAGCGTTATCTTCGGGCACAGAGTCGGTTGCATTCCAACCAACATCTTGCATGCGAACAAGACTTATCTTGTTTAAAGACAAGTTAGGACAGATAGATTAAAGTTTTTTTTCTCAGCTTGCCTCATGTGACGATGACCTGGATGTCAAACAGCACGCATGTAAGACGACAACGTGAGAAAGAGAACCAAACGTGCTCTCCCCCACCTGACAAATCCTAAATTTGCTCTGTGGTGGGCGTGCAAGTTCGTACTCCCCTGCAAGCACCCAGCTCAGCTGAAGTTGGAGGTGAAAATTTACCTATGACAAAGTCGAGGTCCAGCCAGGTAGAGAGGGACAAGTCTTTCCTGTCAACAAGTGTCAGGGTTGAGTCAATTGCACATATTGCTGAAGGTGAGAACGAAGTACAACATCGCTGAAAGGGACGACAGACACTCTCAACACCAGGGGACGAGCAGCATGAATCAAGGTTCGCATCATCGATCAAAGTTGGCTGCCATACATCAAACTTCACATTCATGAGTTCAAACATGACATTCATCTTTCAGAGTTCAACATCTTAGCCGTTCATCCTCACCCGTAGATCTCATCCGCTATCTTCATCGCCACTGACTTGGCGACCAACCTGCCGTTGGGAAGTGCGCAAGGAGGATCGTCTTCATCCATAACCTGAAGGCTCACATTCACTTCCAATGAGATTTTTGCTCTCCCCTCCTCTCCCCTCCCCTCCCCTTTCCTTCCTCCTCTCCTCTCCTCTCCTCTCCTCTCCTCTCCTCTCCAGTCCTCTCCTCTCCAGTCCTCTCCTCTCCTCTCCTCTCCTCTCCTCTCCTCTCCTCTCCAGTCCTCTCCTCTCCTCTCCTCTCCTCTCCTGTCTCCTCTCCTCTCCTCTCCAGTCCTCCTCCTCCACTCTCCTCTCCTCTCCTCGTCTCCTCTCGTCTCCTCTCGTCTCCTCTCCTCTCCTCTCCTCTCCTCTCCTCTCCTCTCGCTCTCTCCTCTTCCCTACTCTCCCATCCCATCCCTCCTCTCCTCCTTCTCCCCCACCTTCCGGGTGTAACTGCAGAGCATGACAGAGTTCGAGACGGCCCTACAAGCTCATGAGCGACAAGAAGCAGACGCGTGCGAGTGACATCATGGGAAGATCCTTTGCAATCCGGTAGAAGGCACGATGTAGAGGGTCTCGGTTCCTGCAGCCAGCATCCCATCAGGCATCAGAGAGCAGGGAGAGCATGGCAATGGTCTACATCATTCGCCTCCTACCCTTCCTGCATCAACAATGTGCGATCAGACGAGGAGAAGGCGGGAAGCAGCATCAGACTTCACCTTGACACTGGTGCCATACATCGCAGCTTGTCCCTTTCCTCCTTACTCTCTTTCCCTTCCTTGCTCCCCGGCTGTTTGAAATCTTCCTCGTCCACCTGAGGCTTGACGTAGCTGGGAGAATACTGGTTCTTGGTCTTGAGAGCTGCCGTCATGTCAGGAGGGAGCGAGGGAGCGAGGGAGCGAGGGAGCGAGGGAGCGAGGGAGCGAGGGAGCGAGGGAGCGAGGGAGCGAGGGAGCGAGGGAGCGAGGGAGCGAGGGGTACCGAGGAGTCCCATGGCGAACAAGGAGGGGAGGAGAGGGTACGACTGGCTCGAGCATCCACCGTGGATCAGATAAGCGTGCTTGAGAAGAGTCAGAACCAAACAAGATCAGGACGAGGAGGAGGAAAGCAAGGCGGGGGGGAGTATGAGAACGACGATGGGAACGAGGAAGAAGAAGAGGAAGAGGAAGAGGAAGAGGAAGAGGAAGAGGAAGAGACAAACTTCACCTTCTTGAGTGAGTCTTGCAGTTGTGTCCATCGAATGTCACCATACAATCTTCGAGCCTGCATGAGATTTGATTCATGATCGAGTGAGAGAAGCTAGGAGAGAGCTAGAAGAGAAGGTAGAGGAAAAGAGGGTATGAGGGGAGAAATGAAGAGGGTCGAGGAGAGGAGAGAGGGAGGAAAGGGAAGCAGACAAGAGAGGCAGGGAGAGAAGGAGGCAAAGAGGGAGGGCAGAGAGAGGGAGAGACCCAATCAAACTCCGAGTGAGGCTTGAAGAGGAGGAGCCAGAAGCTTGATCGAACTGCTAGAGAGCTTGCTTCAGCTATCCCCGTCCAAGGCTTCTCCTTCAGCTTCTCCTTCAGCTTCTCAACCTCCACACCATCCACAGGGAAACGCCTCATGTTGACATCGTTGAGCAGCAGCTGGGGGAATGCTGGGGAATCCTGCGACAACTCGTCGTACCACCAGCGGACGAAGTCGCAAGCGGCGGCATGGTCGCCCCTGTAGCAGAGCTGCTGCACTTGCTGCAGGTGCGTCTGAGAGATCAGCATCATGGTCGAGTCATGCTGCAGGAGCTTCTCTTTATGCTTGTTGCACCACTTCAGCAGCCCCAGCAGGTCCCCACCTTGAAGTGACTGCAACACGCGATAGGCCTTCTCGTACTGATGAAGCGACTTGGAGAGCTGGATACCACTGGCCTGAGCCAGCACTGCCGCCTTATCAACCTCGAGCAAGCTCAGACAGAAGTCAATGTACAACATGTCCATCTTCCGATCGTCCCTCTTCTTCATCTCCTTCTTGGACAGCTTGATGGACTTTTTCTCCTTGAGCCCTTGGAGGTACTCCTGGAGCTCGTCGACGATCTTGCTGTTCAGTAGGAAGTTCAGCTGGTGCAGGATCTCGTCTGCCTTCTTGAACTTTTTCAGGGCTAAGATCGCTATCCCCAGGTTGACAGTCAACGTCAGCCGCATTTCCTTGACTTTCTTCTCGAACTCTTCCATCATGGCCGCTGGCGGGTTCGACATATCATCGCACTCAGCCTCACCGGCGAAGTTCATGACCTCGTCAAAGGAAGCCTGAGAGCTCGCGATCGCATGCTGTATCATGGCAGAGCCATGGTCAAGCAGCTTGTCCGCAAGCTTGCAGAGGCTCTTGGTCGTCGTTGTCAGGTCCTCGTAGAAGGTTTTCCAGTAGGTGATCTCCATATCATACGCGATGTCATCCTGCTGCTCGCCTTCTACGTCTCCCCATCCTCGCTGCTCAAACTCGCTGCTTTCATCAGAAGCGGAGCTCGTGCTCGCTGAGCAGCCGCCCCTCAGCCTCTCCAGCCTCAACGCCGCATGGCGCCTTGGAACGTGTCGCGCTGTCCATGGATCGTGCGGTTCACCTCTGCCCATGAAGCATAGCGTGCATAACACCAGCATCACTGCCGAAACTCCCTGGCGGGTCATTTCTTTTCCGCTCCACCCAGTTGCAAACTCTCCAGCAATGTCAGGTTCCCCTCCTATACTCTAAGGTATATCCATCAGCCCGTCCTATCTTTGTCGTTCTTCCTCCATGGTGCAAGGCTCGTGTTTCTCTGCCTCCTCCTGCATGCTCACCAGCACCTCGTCATCCTTACTCCCTTGGCCGTCGGTTGTCAGCCTGTCTACTGTCCGCTCCGTCCCTCCCTTCTCCCCTCTTCTTCCTCCGCTCTCCTCCCTCTCCTCCCTCTCCTCCCTCTCCTCCCTCTCTCTTTCCCTCTCTCTCTCTCGCTCGCTCCTCGCCTCTTCTATCTCCGGCTCTGCCTTGGCACCATTGACTCCCTTGATCGACTTGATCACCACCCCTGCCAGATAGGAATCACCCACCCTTGTATCACGGATTCCTTTTGACTACCGGTACTTGGCTAATGAAAAAATGTAATGAATACCTACCCCAAACACCACCCACATTGAAGATCACCCCTGGATGGTAGTACCCCACCTCACAATACAGGTATGAGAGAGTAGTCGTATCCTCCAGTCGGGCATGCAGTGCAGAGAAGGGGAGGAGAGTAGAGGGAATACGAGCGTCACAAGAGAGGGAAGGGGAGGAGAGGGAGAGAGAGGAGGGGATCGATTCACAGTTTGCCAACTCCTCAAGATCTTGTGGAAGCATTAGGGTTTTCCGAGAGCACAAGCACATAGGTGGTAAAAAGTTTCTTCTTTTATCAAGAGCGTTCAATCCTCGTGAAGAGTAGTTGTTAAGAAGTAGTATGATGCATGCGATGCCGACAGCACCAGGTGAAAGGAACACGGATTGGGCCCAGTCAACATGTTTAAGCGATGTAGTCCTGTCCAGTGCTTAGCACAGCAGCCAATCAGCACATTTCACTTACGATTCCACGAGAGCCGGGAGGTCCAGGAGGTCCAGGAGGTCCGTCCTGACCGGGCGCTCCCTGGAGGAGCGAGGAGAAGAGGAGGAGGAAGAGGAGCGAGGAAGAGACGAGGAAGAGATGTCAGCACGATAGAACAGCATGCACAACAAGACACACCGAAGGTCCTCTCGCTCCCTCAGGGCCCTTGAGGCCATCCGTTCCGGGGGATCCCGGCGGGCCCTCCGCGCCCATGGGGCCAGGGTTTCCAGGAGTGGACTGCGAGACGTCAGCGAGAAGAGCAGGAGAGCGGTCAGCCTACCGATCCTGGAGGTCCCGGCGGCCCTTGCATCCCGTCCTTGCCGCGCAGACCTGCTGGGCCATCCCAGCCGGGAGGTCCGGTGGTGCCCTTCTTCCCTGGCACTCCTCGCTTCCCCCTATCTCCCATCGGGCCCTGGGGGCCAGTCACGCCCTTGGGTCCCTTGGCTCCCTGTTCTCCCTGCTCTCCCTGCTCTCCCTGAGGCCCTTGCGGGCCTTCCTCTCCCTTGTCGCCCACGAAGCCCTGGGGTCCGGGAATGCCGGGAGGTCCCATGGCACCCTGAGGACCCATCTGTCCTCGGAAGCCCCTCGGGCCCCGCATGCCGGGGGTTCCCTGCTTCACTTGAATGTCGACCTTGGTGGCAGCATCCAGGGACTTGTAGAAGCTCTCTTCCTCCTCCTGGAACGCCATTGTCTCCTTGAGGATCTTCTCGAGCTTGTCCTTCTCCGGGTCCGAGTCGAAGTCCCGAACCCCCGCCATGTCGCGGATGTTGGAGACGTCGTCCTTGGCCCCGTCGATCCCTTCAGTCACTCCTGACTCGGCTCCAAAGTCGATGCTGTTTGGAGAAGAAGACGATTCGTCTTCTCCATATAGCATCTGCCTCCTAGAAGACTTCAAGTACGTGACCTCGGGAGAGTCTGGCCGTTGCAACAGGCTGACAAGGGTCACTGCTACTACGAACATGACCGAAAATGCTGCAAAAGGATAGTAGATCCTTTTGACCTGCAGCATTTTGGCGACAAGCTGCAAAGCAAGAAAGGATCAGAGATCGGAGACAAACTCTCGGCCGAGGCATTTAGATTGGTTCAACGCTCCTTCGCTACAACATTGCAGTGTTTCCCAAGAAGTCATCGTGTGAGAGAAGATCTGGTCATCTCACCTCTATGAGCCTACAATATAAACAAATGGCTCCCTGAACTTTCTTTCCCTGTTCTAAAGATCTTCTTTGTGGAAACCTCCTCATTGGACATTGTCGATCCAACCTCTACGCATTAACCAAAACCCTTCAATCACTCGCAATCACTTTCAGCTCGAATTATATCAGTGATATCCTTGTATGCTCTGTCAACCTTGCCCATTCTTTCTCGTCTTGAAACAATTTCCTACAGCACAACTACCACCTCCCTGTCCCCGCGGCTTTCCTCTCCCTCGAACTTGACTCATGACGTTTATCCATATTCACATATCCTCTCCGCTCTGATATCTCCCACACGAGCCATGCCTTCTGTCTCCATGACTTGTCTACGTACATCTCTCCTCTCCTCTCCATCATGCTCCCCTTTCCCGCAGCTGCCGAACTCCCACTCCCCGCCTCAAGCATTTGGACCATCGGCGAAGAGACAACTGGCGGGGTAAGGTCAATGACTACCCCTACCTACATAATTCAATGATTACCGGTGATATATTTTATCACCCGGTACTTTGATTTGAATTTGTTACGAAAATGGAGGGTACAGACAGACCTTGTTCAGAACACACCCCTCCTTTTGATTCCTCCACCATCTCATCTACCACCCCCACCCCCTCTCGGCACACATTGTCTGAAGTACCCACACACCCCTAGAATCCACATCAATCACCCCTCCGTGGCTGATGCGCAATTATTACTTTACGGTCAAAGTTGGCCGCCGGGCTGTGGCCCTAGCCGGCGGCGGGCACTGAGTCACGCGGCACGCCGGCCCACCGGTGGCGGTGCCCGGCCGGGCCCGGCTGACGCAGCACCTCCATGTGTCCTTCCCTGCTTGCTGCATGCGCGCATGTACTACCGTACCGTCCTTGTGTTTGCAAGTTCGCCCCGACAAGTCCTCGTACTGATTTTTGACTTAACTAGTACGGTTCAAGCCCTTGAGTAAAGGGCGGGGCAGACTCCGGCGGATTGACTGAGCCGTCCGATCTGAGTCTAGTGCGGCTCGGATCGAGTCAGAGTCTGATGCCGATGGGCCAGCCCGGCACTACGGGCAGCTCAGGGATTCAAAAAGGCGTGTCAGTTTGCCGCAAAGTTTGGTGGCAGTCACCGGGTACGGCCAGCCTACTAGAGTTTGTTGGAAACATTTACTCAACCAGATCTGCCAGGATGTCGAGGGAGGGGAGGGGAGGGGAGGGGAGGGATGGAAGTAGTCGAGGAGAGAGAAGAAGGGAAGGAAACGAAGGGATGTAGGAGGTTGGCAGAAGAACGATATCGGGTTGTCGAGCCAGAACGAGGGAGTCAGTGACTGAAAAGACGGTACTCTTAGACAGGCAGGTACGATGTCAGGGACCAGACAGGGTATGGTACCACTCTGACCGTGATCGCTCCTTAGGATTCCCGGAATAATCAGTTTCCCTCAGCCTCTTTGGAGGATTGTGTTGCTCCTGGTATGGACAGAGGTAGTGTCACCTTGTATGTTCAGACGTCCTCTGCTGTACGTGAGGCCGTTGGTTGACATGAAGAAATGCGCAAGCATGGAAAATCCTTTTGCTCACTTCAGCTATGACAAGCAAGGTGTGGTTTTCTTTGTGCAACGATGCAACACTCACTGATTTCCCTGCCTTCTGTTCTTGTTTTGACGTTGGTTGATGTGTTGACATACTAAAACAGGTTCCTCATGCATCAATCAGGTGTTGTTCTGACTTGTCTGTGTCTTGTTTCTCACATATGGTGCAAGAGACAAGTGTCGACCAAGAGGAAGCAGCCTGTTGAGATGAAGGCTGAGGATGCAACAGGAGGAGAAGCGAAGAAGGTGCAGGGCAAGAAAGCAAAGTTTACAGCGAGTAGCTTGCAAGAGGAGATGTTTTGACACTAACTGACAGGTCAAAAGTTTCAACCTCGCAGAGACCAGACAAGAAGCAAAAGACTGAACACATAGAGGGCTTCATCAAGTTCATACCCGACTACAAGACATTGCTGGAGCGGGCAGGACTATCAATAGCTTCTGATGTGATCCTACCTGTCGTATCGGGTGAGAGTAGTAATCGTTGTCTTTGAGAGATTTCCCTTCGTTTGCCCTTCGACTCTCAATCTTCTCCTCTCCCTCTCCTCTCCCTCTCCTCTCCCTCTCCTCTCCCTCTCCTCTCCCTCTCCCTCTCCCTCTCCCTCTCCCTATCTCACTCCTCTTCACTCTCCCTCCTGTGTTCTCTCTCCCTCCCTTTCGTCATGTCTTCCTCCGCTTTCTCCTCTCTTCTGTCTTCTCTCTCCTCGCACTTTCTTTCTCATCATTTCCCAGGCAATCCGAGTGGATGGAGGGAGCGATGGGCGTCAGTATGTGACGATTGCTTCAAGAGAGGAATCCATTGCTCCCATTACGATGAGAAACCGTGAAAACAGACCCTTCCGCTCCTCCTCCTCCTCCTCCTCCTCCTCCTCCTCTACTGTTGCTTCTCCTATTTTTCCTTCTCCATCTCTTCCATCTCCTTCCCTGTCTTCCTTCTCTCCCCCCCCCATTCCAGCTCCTGCTCTGCAAGCTTCTCGAAATGACTTGACACACCCGAGCAGGT